CTTAATAATATAGGAGTATTTCAAAATTATTAAAAAATATTCTCTTTTAATGATAGTGTGATACGTAATTGGTATGAGATTTATTTAATATATAATCTTTAAAAAGTAAGCATGAGAACAGAAAAATAAATAAAATAAAAAGTAAGGAAGAAAGATAAAATAAAATAAACAATATATTTGTTGATTTGGAAAAATATTGAAAGAAATAAAAATTGTTATTTTAAAAAATTAATAATTATATAATTACAAATTTATTCATATATTTATTTTGGAGAAAGATAAGAGTGGAGAAATTTTGAAAAATAATAGTTTTTATTTTTTTTATTTCTTTTTCTCTTCATTTATAGGTGAAAAATAAAATATACAAGATTTAATAAAATATATGTAATTTTATTATTTTGAATTACCAAATAAAGAAAATATTTTATTTCTACACAAATTACTTTTTACTTTGTACTTTGCACTTTCTTTTTAAACAAACTAATCCTAATTATATTTATTGTGGAAAATAATTTATACTTAATAAACACTTAAAACTATTAATATCATATTGTATAATACAAAATTATTTATTTACAAAAAATACTACATTAATAACATGAAAAACTATTTTGGGTAAGTTCATGTGATTACTTTTAGTTGGCTTACGAATATGAATATTATGATAATATATATATATATATATATATATATATATATATATATATATATATATTATCACAAGCAATACAAAATGTAAATAATTAAACATTTATTTAAATACATGTACGTAGCATTAAAGTAATTATGAAAATAATATTTATTTAAATATATGTATGTATCATTAAAATAACTATATAGTAAGTTGTTATAATAAACCATCTCTCTCATTACTAATCACAAAAAAAAAACTATTTGTATGACTTAAGTCTTAAAATAACTATTAGAATATAGTCAGTAAATATATATATATATATATATATATATATATATATATATATATATATATATATATTTAATAGTGTTAGCAATTCTGTTTTTTCTTCTTATTAGTTGGTTTCTTATACCAGTTGACATATAAGATAGACGGTGATGTTCCGTGTATATATATTTACTCAATTCAATACATAGATTGTTGTTTTAGATAAATTGCAGTTTCATTATATGCTTTGATAATTAAGATATTACTACAACATTGTATTTTTCCCAAGTTTCACGTAAACATTTTGTTCTCTCTATCTCCAAACACAAACAAACCACAATTTATACAGCTGCGAAGTCCCAATGTTGGATAGATGTCATGAATACTAAACTTAGCTCTAGAAACAATACTTAGGAGATCACTTATTTACTTTCCTGCAAGACTCTAATAGGACGCAAATTGGTCTACAAGGTGAAATACAGATCTGAATGGACACTATTGAGCCACATAAAGCCATACTAATTGTCAAAGAATATACACAAACCGAGAGAATTGACTTTTTGACACTTTCTCACTCGTTGCAAAATTGACTACAATCATATTATTACTTGCATTAGCTATCACGCAAAATTAACATATTTATCAGTTAGATATCAATAACATTTTCTTACATGGAGACTTATATGAAGAGGTATTCATGAAGTTACTTGAAGGAATTTTCACCTTCAAGCCTAACTAAGTGTGTCACTTACTAAAGTCTATCTATGGTTTGAAATAAGCAAACAAACAATGGTTACTAAGATCTTTACATTCTTACTGTCTAATGGTTACGTCCAATCCTAAGTTAAACAAGATGACTCGTTCTTTACCGTCTTGCTTATCTACATTGATGATATAATCTTGACCATTAATCATCTTCTTGAAATTATTTTCTTTAAACACAAACTGGATCTTACCTTTTGTCTAAAGTAATACCTTGGCCAACTCAAATACTTTCTTGGTTTGGAAGTGGTAGGATCCACTGAAATCTCTATTTGTTAGTGAAAAATATGCACTTAAGATTCTCTCATACGCTAATTTCCAAACCTATACCAAGTCCTATGGTCAATATTGTGAAATCACATGATGACAATAATCCTTTACTTACCCATCGAACCAACTATCGAAGGCTTATTGGCCTCTACTCTACTTAATAACAACCAGGCTAAGCATTAGTTTCGCTGTTTAACAACTGTCCCAATTTATGCATGCTCCAACTCAATCTCATTAGCAAGCAACTATAAAAATCCTTCACTGTATAAAGAGTTCCTCAACTTAGGGTTTTTTCTTCCGAAAAATGATACTTTGACAACCTAAATCCATACAACTTTTGTAAACAATTCTGTTTTAATATTATAATAATAGTTTTATTTTATTTTTATTTTTATTAAATCAGTCTATAAATTATTATATTAATAAAAGTAAGTTGTTTGAAGGGTTGTATGATTTTTGGTTGTCAAAATATCACCACTCTTTTCTTCCTACGCTTTTCCATTATTCATTAAAAGCTTTTAGTGACTTAGACTGAGCTAGTTGCTCTGCCACCTGCAAGTCCATCACTGGCTTCTCTATATTCCTTGAAGATTCTCTTATATCTTTGAAATTCAAGAAGTAGACAACAATTGCTACGTCTTCTTCCAAAGTAAAATATCGTGCTGATGGTCACAGTTTACGAGCTTCAATGATTATTTTTTTCTTCATACTCCACTTACTACACCTGCCCTATTATATTACGATATTCAATTTGCTTATAACATTGTAGTGAACTTGTGTAGAGTATTAGTAACATATTTTTGTATATATACTTTTTTTTAATAACCTTAGCAATTCTATTTTGCTTTCCTTTTAATTAATGTCTTGTATAATTGACATGTTAATTAAACGGTGCACTTGATATATATATATATATATATATATATATATATATATATATATATATATATATATATATTCTCTCAATCCAATAATCTATTTTAGATGAATTGTGGTTTGATTATATGAACATATAAAGAAAAAGTATATAAAAGTTATTATGCCTTTATCTGGTGTTGAAATTTCAACGGACCAAGTCTTTTTTATCCCATTACAAAGGATGATGTTCCAGTTAATACATGGATGGTAGTTGGAGACTAAATCTATGCTAAAGAACATAATTTTGTTATTCTTGAAGTGCGAGGAAAGAAAGATATATAATATAAGAAAATAAAGCAAATAGTAATAAATGTTAAATAATATACACCACGATGTATTTAATTAATATTGAAATAATAAAATTGATATGTCAAAGTATAAATATGCTGCTAATTTTAATATGCAAACAAGTGGGTGGCGGCTACTGGATTCTCTAAATCATTATATATTTCAGAAGTGAGCGAAACACGGAAAACAAAGACCAAAAAAACCTAAGAATAAAATAAAAAGATAAATGGCTATAGGGTATGTAAAAGTATAGTAACTTAATTAGAAAATATTTCATTTAAAAGATAAATTAAGTTAATTGAAAGAACACTGAAGAAAAAAAATTAATCGAAATAAAATGTTTAATAACTTTTTGAAATAGCTAATTGTATATCTTATCAATAAAGGAAGTTGGATTGGTTTCTAATACTTTTAATTGACAGAGTAATTTTTATCGTGCTTTAATTAACTAAGTTTTGTTTGAACACAAAACACAAAAGAAGGATAAAATAATTATGTATAAAATGGGCATGTAAGAAAATCTTAAAATGAGAGTAAAAAGCGAAACAACTGAAATATACAAAGTTCGGAATTTCTTGACATGAAATTCTAGATTCCTAAAACTCATTCTTCAATTGTGACTATGTTTTCAAGAAAAAAATAAAATAAATTAAAGTTTCGATTGAAATTAAAATTGTTCTAATTATATTTTACCCCAAAATTATACAATCTTAATTACGAATTTGTCTCAATAATAGTTTTAGAAAATTTTAATTTGTCTCTAGTATGCAGGTTGAGATTCAGAGTGAGATCGATGTGAATGATGGAAATTGGAGTGAGAGGCACATTAAGGTTGGAAACTAAACCCAGGTCTACGTGTAGGTTTAATTCTAGGTTTAGAACCAAATGGAGATGGACATTCAGGTTGAGGATTAGATGCAGGTGTAGTCTGAGAATCAAATGTTGTTGAAGAGTTTTTCTGACTTGAAAATTATGGTTTCCGCAACCCAATCAGAACACTGTAATTTAAAAAAATAATCCATGCAATCTAATGTTGGGTAGCATCGGAAAATCATAAAATCAAGCTCAGACCAATCATTACACCAATCAAATTTGGTTGAAAAATTAGCTTATTATTATTTGACTATAATTTTATATTTACATGCAGAAGTCAATTATCCTAACCTAAGTAAAAATTATGAAGCTAACTAGTAGCCACTAAAAAGTAATTTAAATAATTAAAAATTTAATATGTCACGGAACTTGATTAAAGCAAGTGGGTAAAATTGACTACAAATCAATGGAATACTTAATCAATTAACCAATTATTTATCTTCAACTTTCTCTTGTTTGTTTATTGAATGGATAAAAATAATACATATTAAAAATCACACATTACATTAGATAAATAATAGAATAAATAATAATAATTATATAATAAACTTAAAGTTTAATATGAATTAACATCTCAGTAAAAAACACTTTAAACTTATATCAGATTTTTCTTATACTATTATATCAATAGTGATTGTGGGCAACTATCACTTTTTGAAATTGGAAACGACAAGATAAGGTTTGTTCTACTGACGTCGTCGAATTGAAGCCACGCATGTCAGATATTAATGAACATGTCCCATACAATATGTACACGTGTCCGTCTGCTAATTCACGATTTCCACTTACGTTAACGTTACAAACACGTTGTGCATGTTTTTTTATTCATTCCAAATAAACAAAATATGAGAGGAGAAGACTTTGAAACGCATATTAATAGTCCACACGTAAGATAATATAATCTCTCTATATATTTGGTTTGATTTCAGACAAGTCTATTGGGAAGGCAAGCCTAGTCTGCCAGAACTGCATTCTGTTGTTATCAAAAATGGCATCCCTTCTTCCATATAACTCACCTGATCCCAGTGATTATGAAGCTAAACCTAACTCATCAACGGTTGAAGCCACTACACTGGAGATAGAAGAAGCATGCAGTGGTCCAAAACCAAAAGGGATCAAAAGAGGAGAAACTTTAGGTTGGAATAACGAGAGAGAAGAGGTGGGTATGTGCTTGACATGGAAGGATGTATGGGTGACTGCTTCTGTGGGAAAGAGTGGAAGCAAATCGATTCTGCAGGGCCTGACTGGTTATGCCAAGCCAGGGCAGCTCTTGGCCATAATGGGTCCTTCTGGTTGTGGAAAGTCCACACTTCTTGATGCCTTAGCTGGTATGTGTCCAACTGAAGTTTCAAAACTTTCATTGCATGGTTTAATCTTTCAGAGGTGAGGTCACCTTCGAGAACTTCTGGTTTTTCGATGACTACTGCAAAAAAGAAAAAAAAAAGTTTAAATAACTATTTTGTTTCGAGAATCCAAATGTTTGATATTTTCTCTAGCTTGAATGACAAGATGGGGGCTTAATATTTTTTTGGGTTTTTGGAAATTATTCATCGTGCTGATGGAGATTATTTTTCATGAAATCTGATTTTGGTAATTCACGCAAATGTTTACAAACATAAACTAATTCACACAAAAAATCTTTAAAAATGAAATGAAATGAAATAAATAACACTATCATTCTAAAACTTAATTTTTCAAACTCTAATGATGTAATCTCTTTGATTTTGACATTAGATTTAGAATCGAGCTATTAGGGGAGGTAGAGTGTGAAATACAAAACCAAAAGTCAAAACCGCTTCCATAATTTTTATAAACATTTTGACAACCTCTTATTATTCAACTTTTAAAAACAATCCACTTTTAATATTATAATAATAATTTAATTTAGTTTATTTTTATTTTTATTTTTATTAAATTATTTTGTAATTATTATATTAATAAAAATGAGTTGGATTAAGAATAATTTATTTATAATGTTATCAAAATATCACTTCTCATTCCTAATAAAGCTTTATATTACAACATTTGAATAATACTATCTTTTACAACTTTCTATCTCCTTATTGATGATTATCTTATATACTTCTCTTTCTTATCTTTATTTCCTTCATTTACTCGTCATATTATGATGGAGTCTTGAAACAAGAAAAATCCATTTATAGTTTTTCACTACAAATTTCTATTAACAGATTATTAATTCTTACAGATGTATTGTTCCGGAACTGAAGTAAACAAGGAAAAAAAAGTACTCATAAATCACTATACATTTCTTTCAAGTTAGAATGTTTCTATTAGTACACTCGATCTTTCCTTCTCAACTCATTCTTCGTAATTTTTGTTATGTGATGTCATATTTAAAATTTTACTATACCTGCTAAAATGAGTTCACACCAATATTAGAGCTAGGATGATACAAGAACTAAACCTTATCTGTAAGATTTTAACTGTTATAGTCTTGAGAAAATTTAATGATGGTATAAATTCATATTATAGGGAGATTAGGTTCCAACACAAGTCAAACAGGGGAGATTCTTATCAACGGGAAGAAACAAGCACTGGCATATGGAACCTCAGTACGTACAAAGGATAAAATTCACGAAAATAAATAAAATTGAAATGTTAATTAGTATCAGCAGCCACATGATCAATTAAACATTCTTTGAATCCTTGTTGTGAATACACAGGCATATGTCACACAGGATGATACCTTATTGACAACCTTAACGGTTGGAGAAGCAGTGCACTATTCAGCTCAGCTCCAATTACCTGACGCCATGTCCAAAGAAGAGAAGAAAGAGAGAGCAAACTTTACAATCAGAGAAATGGGTCTTCAAGATGCCATTAACACAAGAATTGGAGGATGGGGTGTCAAAGGAATAAGTGGGGGTCAGAAAAGGAGAGTGAGCATTTGCATTGAGATTCTAACACGACCAGGGCTTCTCTTCCTTGATGAACCAACTAGTGGACTTGACAGTGCAGCTTCATATTATGTCATGAAAAGAATCGCTACCCTTGATAAAAGAGATGACATTCACAGAACTGTTATTGTCTCAATCCATCAACCTAGTACTGAAGTTTTTCAAATTTTCCACAACCTTTGTCTTCTATCTTCAGGTAGAACTGTTTACTTTGGACCTGCTTCTGCTGCAAGTGAGGTTAGGGACTAAACTAAACTAAACTAACCTTTTTTATATACTACTTTGCTCATTTCTAATTCTAATGTTCCTAATTTTGCTTTTGTTCAATTGTAGTTTTTCGCTTCAAATGGTTTTCCTTGTCCTTCTCTCATGAATCCATCAGATCATTTACTGAAAACCATAAACAAGGATTTCGATCAGGTAAATAACTTCACCATTCTTCAATGGAATTGGTGCTTCTTTTTGTATTTAAATTTTTCTCCTCTGCAACACTATTGTAGTCAACAAACAACTAATTAACACATAGAAATATGATTGAAATGGCTTTTATTTATCAGGACATTGAGTTGACTTTAGGAGGGAATGCAACAATAATACCCACCAAAGAAGTGATTCGGATCCTAGTAAATTCGTACAATTCATCTGAAATGAACCAAGAAGTTCAGAAGGAAGTAGCAGAACTAACTGAAAAGGTATCTTCAATTATGACTAAGTAGATCTCATACCATGTACATAAATTTGATCCAAAGGTAATTTAATAAAATATTAGTATTAAACTTTCGTGAGTTAATTTGCAGGACACCGGTTCCACAAACAAGAAGAGAAGGCATGCTGGATTCCTTAATCAGTGTTTTGCTCTTACCAAAAGATCCTCCATTAACATGTTTCGTGATCTAGGCTATTATTGGTTACGCCTTGCCATATATGTTGCATTGGCTATAAGTCTAGCCACTATTTTCTATGATCTGGGTACAAGTCAGCGCTCAATTCAGGTAACAGTAGAAAAGTAACACATGATATAATATGACTCTATATATAAACTTACTATGCATTATTTGGCTTTCAGTTTAGCTAATTAATATCTGCTAAATCAGAAATCACTTTTCATTATTTCAGGATAGAGGTTCATTTCTTATGTTTGTATCTTCATTCATCACTTTCATGACCATTGGCGGATTTCCTTCCTTTGTGGAGGATATGAAGGTAATTCAACATTTCTTTTTGTTGTTTTTCAGATAGGTAGAACATTATTTTGGTTAAAGAGTAAATTTTTAAATACTTCTTAAAGAGTTAAAGTGTCTTTTTGATAGATCAAAACAGTCTTTCTATCTATTTTTAAACTAATCATATAATTTTTACTAACGTGATATAATTTGTCATATATCATTAAGTTCATCAAATTAGCACAGTAATTTGACAGAAAGATAAGTTTGATTGTAAAAAACAGGTTAAAAAAAATGAAATTTTTTAAACTTATAGAACAAACTGACAAAAAATTCAGATGAGACACCAAAACTATAATTTGTTCTTCACAAATTTATAAACTAGATTATTTATTGTTTAATTCATTTTTGTACCTCTGCTTGCCATTTGGTCCTCCAGGTGTTTGAACTTGAGAGACTAAATGGACATTACAGTGTCACTGCATTTGTGATTGGGCACAGCTTTTCATCTATACCATTCTTGTTCTTGGTTTCAATCATTCCTGGATCTATAGCCTATTACCTTCCTGGTCTGCAGAAAGACTTTGAGCACTTTGCATACTTCATATGTGTTCTCTTTTCTTGTCTGATGTTGGTAGAGAGCCTTATGATGATTGTTGCAAGCATTGTCCCTAACTTTCTAATGGGCATCATAACCGGTGCTGGAATTCAAGGAATGATGATTTTGGGTGGTGGGTTCTTCCGATTACCAAACGATCTTCCTAGGCCATTTTGGAAATACCCAATGTTCTATGTTGCCTTCCATAGATATGCCTACCAAGGATTGTTCAAAAACGAGTTTGAAGGACTAAGATTCGCTGCAAATAATGTTGAAGATGGCTCCTACGTTACTGGTGAAGAGATTCTAAACAATACATGGCAAGTAAACATGAGTTACTCAAAGTGGGTTGATCTTGGAATCTTGCTGGGGATGATTATTCTGTATCGAATTCTCTTTCTGGTTAACATCAAAACTACTGAGAAGCTGAAGCCAATCATTGTATCATTCATCTCATCAAGGAATTCTCCCAAGCGAACAGTACAGATCATGCAGAATCCCAATGCCACTCCTTTGCAAGAAGTTCAAGCTGTCTAAAGTAATGGAATCAGGTTTAACTCGCATAGATATCTGAAAGATCAAGAGATATATAAATAGTGTTTCTTGCTTCAATCAAAGTAAAGAATAACTCCAATTTGTATCTTCGTTTACGTGAATGACTAGTGCTCTTCATATTTTCTGCTTGTAAGAGTTGACATCAAAGATAAGGTGAAAAGGTGCTTAGTAAACCAAAAAGAATTTTTATATTTTCCATCTTTCCTATAAATATTTTAAATATATTAAAATAAGTAATGTTTACTTCATTTTTGTTTTCGGAACCTCTCTTTTCATCTTATTTTTATGGTTTAATTACTTTTTGTCTCAAATTAAAGGAATGATTTTTTTCATTTGTGACATGATGGAAAGTATAGTAAAAACAGCCGACATTACAAAATGTTGCATGATATGGGGCAAAATCATTAGATAACTTAAATCGAGAAAATGATCGCACCTAGGCGTGCACTTTTTTACCACTCAAGCAAGTGGTTTAACGCTTAAAAAGTGTCAAATTTATTTCTTGTTATGACACTTATTTCATGTGAATATAAAGAAATCATATGTAAACTTTTTTAGTAAATGTTAATTACATATTTTGAGTTTTAAAGAGTTGAGAGAAGAATTAATAAAAATTGATATTGAATGTAAGAAAAAAAAAGATTATAACGTATAAAATAAAGAACAAAAGTGTTGAGTGAATAAAAAAGAGGCGTCATTGTTATTATTACTATTTTGTTAAGTGTCAGAATGACTTGTTGAGCAAAATCAATATATTATTGATTAATTTCATAGTGACAAATTTTTTTAAGTCATTATATTTATACTTTGTAATGGGAGTTCACAACAAATATTGTTCAGTTATAAAGGAAAACATTAAACAAAAACGTTGAAAATTATTGTAATGGGTGAGAATTTGATCTCACCTAATAAACGACAAAACCTTAGTGAAGATTTGAAAGATCTCTTGTCCAATGATTCTTCAAGACTCTCTCAAACTGTGGAAGTTGTTATTGTCTCTAACGACTCAAAATGGAACCCTAAATCTCCAAATTGAAAAAGTTTAAAATATTTTTTTTATCTCTTTTCTTTTTTAAATGGATGTTTGTTGAACTTTTACTAACTCGTCTTATTTATTCAAATTTTATTTTGTTAAGAGAATTTAGAAAGAAAAAAAGCTTGTATTACCTTCATGATTTGGTACTATATTTTTAATATAAAATTTTGAATTGGTAATATGGATTATGTATGTTGTTCTTGTTATTTTTAAAGGAAAATTTTAACTAAAAAGAACGAGGCAAATAAAATCTAAGGTTCCTCGTCTAAGTGTCATATTATAGGAAGTTGTGTCCACCTACACCTAACTGTCCTTCGTATTCAGGTAATTATATATCTTCACATATACTTTTTGCATCAATTCCTTTAATCTATCAAGTTTTGTGGACAAAATATTAGTAGGCATAACATTTTTACTATAACACTTTGTTTGGAAATTAAAAAAGGTAGACTAAATTTTTTAGTTTTATCTATAAGAGGAATAAGTTTATTAATCTATATATGATGTTGACTGATAAAAATGTTGAAGACAAAATTTTTAACTTAAGTAAATTTAAATTAAATAATCAAGTGAATATTCATCCTCTACAGCCAAATACAACGTGCAAAAGAGTATGATTGGTTTATGTCATTGTAAGCTAATAAAGTTAAAATTTGATATTTATATTAAGTATATTATGTAACATTTTGTAACAGAAGAATACAGATAACTAAGAACCAATTATGTTAAAAATTGACATTTATATAAAGTATTATGTAACTTGACATTTTTTTTAACATGTTGCAGATGACCAAGGTAGGACAAATACAAAACAGATGGCATTTATCTCGTAAAAAAAATTGTTGTGAATTGGAATAATAAAAAAGTCAATCAATTAGTATTATCAATAAGAATTATGACAATAAAGGAAGTGTTCCTAATGAAAAATAAATAAATTATTAATATGAGGAACGAAACTATTTATTTCATTTTTGTTATCTAATTTAATTATACAATGCAACATTATACAGTAACTTAGTTTGAATTTGTAGACTTATTTAAATAAAATTATTTATTTAGTTTTTGTTGTCTAATTTAATTATAGAATGCAATATTATACACTAATTTAGTTTGAATTTGCATTCTTGTATAATTATTATATTAAACTAGAAAATATGGATATGTTATTTGTTTGATAGTATTTTAGTATTATTTTCAATGATTTTATTGGTTTTAGGAGATAAGACTTTTAGACATTATTTTTATTTCATTAATATTTTATTATTATTTTTATTAAAAATAAATGAGTATTAAAAAATGAAGTTAACGAGATTCTAAACCTTAAGTAAAATTACAAAGATTATAAATCGCTCAGAGACAATAAAGATGTTAAAACGTAGAAATACAGAAAGGTAGCAGGGGTTTCAAAATTGCATAGAGGTAACGGGTTTTAAAACCGTGGAAAAGTAGTGAGAGTTTTAAAATCGCCGAGAAGTAACGAGGGTTTTAAAACTGCGGAGAAAGAAGTAGTAGAGGTTAATAACCATTGATAAGTGCTGAATTTCCAAAGGTATCAAAAGATCGCTGGTAATCAATTAACAATGCTAATTTTTCTAGCGAAATGAGCAACCCTGAATACAAAATATCACGCGTTTGATAAATTGTATTATAGTTGTCTCTCTTTATTGTTGAGAAAAATCTTAACATTAATATTTAATTATGGAACCATTTAATATAAAAATATATAGTTTTTCAAAACTATCCAATTGAATTGAAAAAATTTAAATTCAATAAAAAAATTAATATATATATATATATATATATATATTATAAATAATAATTCAATAATATATGAATATATTTTCAAAATAAATCATAATTAATATATCTCACATAATTAATTATATATTCTCGTATAGATTATCACTAAACATGATTGATTATGTTTACATATAATCTATTATTATTATTTTTACATGAATATCTAAAAAAAATTACATATTTTTTTTACATGTATTATCAAGCTACAAATATTTATATTGAGTTTATATTAAGTTTATTTTGTTAGGTTTTTTATAAAAAATAAATTATTATTTTTTAGTTAAAATTAATTTATCCTTAAAACAATTATAAAAACTATCTTATAAAAAAATATTTCTTATAAAAAGTAAACCAAATATAAATAAAATTTACATAAATATTTAATCAATTTTATTGTTTAAAAAACATTTTTTTTATCAATAACATGATTTAATAAAAATTATTAAAAAATAATATATTTAATAATTCATATCTTATTTTAACAATAATTCATTAATAATATTTTTTAATTAAATTATACTTTTAATTTATTATAAAAAACAAATTAAAAAAATATAATATAGTTTTTTCTTAATATCATTATCTAATAGGAATATGTTAATTAATATAATTTTAATTTCAAAATAATTTAATTTTAATATATATTTATATACTATTGAAAACATATAGTTTATATAATTTCAAATAAATACTAAATTTGAAATTAATTTTTTTAATCACAATATTTTATTCTAAAAATAAATTGTAATAAAATATTATATATATATATATATAGTAATATATAAAAATAAGTTATAAAAAATAAATTTTACTTATTTATTTATTTTAAAAAATAATAATAGAAGAATATTTAGCTTATTTATTATATATTTTTTTATAATTTAGATATAAATTAAATTATTTATTTATTTATTAAATAATTATTTTGTGTTTAAATTATGTCTATCTCAATTTTAATTTATTATTTTTTATGATTGTAATTTTATTAATTATCACTTTACTTCTTTATTCAAGTTTTATGATTTCAATTTTTCTCAGATAACCGCACATTAAATATAGACATTATACTTTATTTCTTTGTTCTCTAAACATTATATTTTATGGGAAGGAAGAATTTTTGCAAATTTTTAGAAAAATGATAAATTATTATTAAAGTAATAAACAACAAAAAATTTAGTAGAAAATATCAAAATTATTTTTATACTTGATATAAAATAATTTCATTATATCTCAAAATTTTATATATAATATAACCATTATAATTTATGTTTATCTTATCTCTTGTCAATATAAAAATAATTTATTATTACATACTTTATATTATTACATCAATTTCATTTTCTATTATTTTTTCAATCATTTATCTTTACCTTTTACTTTTTTTTCCTCAAGCCAAATTATTCCACACTCTTCTTCACTTCCTCAGATATATTTCCTGATCCAAACAGGACATTAGACATTATTATTTTGTATTATGCTCTTCCCTTCAAGCAAATATGCTTACTAATACAATATTAATATTTTATGGTGCTTAATAAAGCATATAGCTTGTTTTATGATGACCTAGATTAAGTATAATCTGGATAGATACATAATAGGTATCTTTAAAAAAAAAATATATATATATATATATATATATATATATATATATTCTTGTTAAACATGTAATGGATTGATTTATATAAATAACGTTAGGTTTTATAATATCATTACGTGGACATGCCGGAGTGGTTATCGGGCATGACTAGAAATCATGTGGGCTTTGCTCGCGCAGGTTCGAATCCTGCTGTTCACGTTTTTTTTTATGTCGCGCTGAATTTGATTCATCTATTCAAGCTATATTGTTTGACCTCATATTTCTCGTTGTGTTCTTTCATATATCACATCCAATACCATACATCATGGAGAAGAAGAATCATCTACTTTAGTTGTTTATGCTTCAATTATTTCTTATTCGTTTTAAACTGAAAAAACTTAACAAACAAAACAACATTTAGTTTTTCTCGTGAAAACAAAACAATCAAATTTAGTTTAGTTTTACTCATCTCTTACTAAATATTAGATTTCAAATAACGTCATGGAAATTTTCAACATTTTTATATCCAAACATTATCTTACTAATAGAAAAATAAGAAAAAAATAATTA